ATTATAGTGACGCTCGCGCGCTACGATTATTACTCTAAATATATTTGCTTTGCTGCTTAATTTAATCCCAGCCCGTGTTTCCGTTCGGACAATTCTACCCACACAAATACACGTAAATACAATGCCTGTCTAAACTTTTTACTGTATTTTGATATTCGGTGTTGTAAAGTTTAATATCCTGGGAACTAGTTTGAGAAGACGACGAAAACAAAATAATAATTAAAAAAAGTCTCGCATCTCAAGGACTTTCCTGCGCGTTTTATTTAAACTGCGTAGAAGTAGTATTTTGGTGTTTGTGTGTGATTTAATGTAGAAATAATAGAAAACGAATGGATTAAATTGCAAACAAAAAGTCATGAAAACTCTTGCTGGATTTACTTTTAAAAAAATCTCCATGCTAAAACTGTCCACCTGCCATTCGCAACATGTTTAAAGTACGCGAGAAAGGTCGGTACTAGTCATCTTGTGCTACGTACGGTGAAGCCGCAAAATACGCAGCGTTCTAATAATTGCGCAAACATGTATTTTTAAATAATTGCCTCGAAGCTCATTGAATTTGCTAATTGAATATCTTTTTGATGACTCCGAAACGTATAATTTTCCGGTGTTTGCGTTTTCTTTTCGTTGTGTTTTTGTTTATTTGCAATGCCGGTCCCATAATGATTGTTTATATAGTTGTTAGGCGCGGAGTCGTCCTTCGATAAGCAAAGGAACTAGCAGCACGGCATGCAAATGTGCTCGATGGTCGTAATCGTAACTACGAATTACGGCATGTACGAAACGCGGTTCACGTCAAGATGCGATTGCTTTACTCGCATGCGCATGGCTTTTTAATGCTTTATAATATACCCGGGAAGTGATAAAGTTAATGTTTGAGAACGAACGTATAGGTACGTAAATAGTCAATTTTTTTGGAGTCTGAGTCCGCAAGAAACATCAAATAAAAATTACATGCGAATTAAACGCTTGCGGAGATTTTGTGAGAGCAAATTTAATCGCACGTTGCGTAATTTCGAATCGACATTATCAGGAAGCGTAATTACAGTCACATAATGATCAATTAAATTGAATAGTTTGCAGAACAACGTCTTGGACTTGCCTGAGAATAGTTAGAACTGGTTATAGTCGCGATTGCAAGCTGCTTAGATTGATATTATCCATAATGCTAATATAATAAATCGTCATTATCGTTTCCGGAAATTTCTCTTTTTTTTCTGCGTGATCTTACACAATAACAGTTTCGGAATGTTTTTGAATCTTTGCGAACATTCTTTACGTAGATTTATTCTGAGCATTACGATTAGAATAAGCTACAAGTTGATTTTAAAACAAAGGAAGTAAAAACGACAGTTTTATTGGATTTTAAGTGTTACGTCTGGACGAAGGAGAAAACACGGCGTTTCGTAGAATATAACTCAATCGACAATAAAACCATTGACAATCATAATCTATAAGTGTGGATAATAATACCATACAATTACTATCAGTTTCCTGTTAGGAATTAATTGAAAAGTAGAGATTGTGGAATTAGTAATTAACCGTGTCCTCTAGTTGTTTGCACTTCAAGGACTACTTTTCTATTGCCGGCGATGTTGTTGTATTTAATCGAAGTACGAAAACGAAGGTAGACATTATTTACGCGTTCGCTTTGCTGAAAGCAAGATAAACCGTAATAACTTTTGTTGTCGTTGAACGCAGGCCGCGCCGTGCCTATAGCTAACGGCAGAGAATGCATTTCGCTCGCTACCGCGGCCGTGTCGACGAGTCGTATTAATAAAACGCTCATATCGACGCGCTGTACATGTTGTACTTGTCAATGCAAACGTGTTTCGAATGCGACTCACGGACAGTCAGCCTTGACACTCTCAAGTCGCACACACATACGAAACAAAAGCTTCCTGTACCTCCCGTGGCATATCTCCGCTGTGAAATTAAATCGCAATTGTCGAGGCTTTACTTTTATTGAGTCAATTGAGTCACAAAATCAAGAACTAATCGAATATTATTACATGCTCTAGGTGATTGTATCTGCGCTTTATTACGTTGCACAATCTATTATAATTACATAAAATGTAAATTATATTTTATTGTGTGATCTACTTTGGTTCCAACGGTCCAAAGTTTCGAAGTACGCGTCCGACTTTGTGCGTTAGTAGTGTTTATGTTGGCCTAAATCGTTCCTTAGCGCCGATACTCGATACTCGCATGTGCGTACTCCTTGTATAAACTCCTACTAGCTATACCGTTAGCTCGTACTACGAGTCGTGGTGCGTTCTTTGAGGTTGCGAGCTAAACTTTTCGCCTTGCCGATGCGTTTGCCGCGCTTCGTACACTTTTCGATCGAGCATAACGCACGATTATTATTCTGTTTGCGCCGGTTGAATGTGAGTTAACTGCATGCAAAAGGCTCTGCGTCTGCTCGTTTACATTTTCGTGTTTGGAGCGACTCGTTACTGAATTCCTATTGGAATACATACATCCGGGATTTTCATAGCTTTACTGGCGCATTTACTGCGCAAATAAATATTTGATTATTTATTTATCTTTTTGTGGTGCATTGCAATTTGCATTCGCCTATAACTCTATACTTTGCGCATGGTGTACTCTTCCGGAAAATATTTATGGCTTGTATCATCACTTTCTTATCATGGTATACATGTATTTAGGTTTAAAATGCGAATAGGAACTAACCCACTCCCACTAGACGGTAGTTTGTTGCGGTAATCATATTCATGATGTCAACAAGGCATTGTCGAGTTTCTTTACATAATCGCTTCACATAGTGCACATTGTATATATGTGGGACAATGCGAATTGTTTTCCGTTTTATAAAAGTTTTTTAAATGAGCAGGCGTAACATGTAGCAATGGACGATTACACTATCTTATCATTATTGCTTTATTTGCAGTGCACTGCGACTAAGCGAACTTTCTACTCGGCGTTTATCTGCTGCGTGTGTTGTATCAAATTGCGTGAAAATTTTACGAACGATGCTTGAAGCTCACTGGCGCATGAGATTCGCTCCTAACTTATTATAATTAACATTTACGTGAACCCGAACATCGCAATTCGTGAAATGATTATAGAAAGCTGATAAAATGTTAAACTGCACCGAGTTCACACTGGTGATCACCTGCGAGTGTAAATACCATGCCATTCAAATGGAAATCAGCAACGGAAAAGAATATTGCATATATTTAGAGGAATTTCTAGATTAGCGAGAGCAACTCTAATAATTATTTCAATTATAACTTTAAGTTGCGTGAACGTAAACATTGCAAATTTGTGATAATAGAGAAAGTCCCGCGATAACAACCCATTTCATTGGCGGCGAAACAGCGTTCAGCGATTAACTTTATCTTTTCTCGCTTTTCTGTGTTAAAAATCGATTCACCGTTTCTCATCCCGCGATTGTAGTGATTCAGCTTTATTTCAAAGACGCAATGCATTACGAATTGCTCTGTTTCGTCTTTCACTGGAACATGCATACAACGACTAACGACTCTTTTCAGTTTCAAATTTCCATACAAGTAAGCGAAAACCGAAAAAAAAACTTGTATTATAGTAGTAATAATCTTATAAATTGCGTTCTCGTTTCACTTTGGTTTTGTTTTGCTTTACTGTGCAGCGAGTTTGCTTTCAGTTTTCTATGAAATAGCATCTTTTCACAACGATTTATCCGCGACAGTGCAGGCTGGCCGAGAGTAGACCGTAATGAGTGATCTCGCAAAACGTCTCCACATCTCCACGGTTTCATAAACGTTCATTAAAAAGAAAGTACAATTGAGTCGTCGTTTTTTCTTGCTTATTTGTATGCTATTTGTTATATTTAGCTGCCAGCTGTATCACCCACTAAGTCATCATTGCGTTGCGCGCATTAGTTAGAAATTTAATCTCTTCGGTTTTATTGGCAGATTTGCACGTGCGCGGCGGCACTGGCTTTGTGCAATGGCGGCATGAAGATGAAAGGCATTAAAAATCTCAAGTTGTATAATTATTACGTTATTATATAAAGGAGGTTAGAGGTTGCAGGCTTAAGCCGCGATGATATAAAAAAAAAAATATTATATTGTGTTAAATTCCGCGACGCTCTGTGAAATGAGCAATGCGTGTGTGTTTAAATATCTTCTGTGTGTGGCTTTTGCATTATAATTGTTAATGCGATGGACGATCGCCGCAGCGCGTAAATTGGCGTCTATCATCTGCGAGTGAGCGCCTGCGTGAAAAGCGAATTTTATAAGAAGAGCGCAAACCTTCGTCGTTACTAATTGAGTTGACACGAAAGTCAGGAAATGAAAATAACATCGATTTTTGTAACTGATGTCCGCTTGCCTTCTTGCTCGGCTGGTTGGCGACGAATTAACAACAGGAATGTAACTAATGCAAACCGCGAACCGAACGCGATTAACAACGCACGATTTCTATAATCGTCGAAACGGCCGGACGACTTTTTGGCGGACGTGGTTTCTATTCTTCCAGCGTAACGCGATTGACATTCTTTGGGCATACAGAAAGATATCGTGATTGCCAACGCAGACACGCTTTAATCAGCGTGTGCGCGATATGCAAGCGATCGAAAATTCCCATACACGTCCGAATTGACCCGTTGTTAAACTAGTTTAGGCATGCTGTTCTTGTATAATGATACTCGTTGTTTTCGGCGATTGCGTGCTTTCCGGTATAAAGGTCGCACGATGCTGATGACTATCGCGATGTAGGTGTTGGAATCGTGGAAAATAAAACCGATATCCTGCTATTAGTGAAAGTAAACTATCTTTGCGCACACACGACGACGCAGTACGTAGTTATTATTGCGGCTGATGAAGGCAATGGAGCGCCTGATGCATCGAACTGTTAATTAATTTCGTTTCGCCGCTAAAGAGTGTGGGCGTTACGTGCGCTCGAAGCGCGTAGACTTTCCTTGATCTAGCTTGTTCTAACTTTCATCAATTATATAGATGTGCATTTTTCTCATGGCATTTCTTTTGTTGAGATTACAGTATAGTCTGCGGCAGCTAGATCTCTCACTGCTCTCGCAACTCTGGTCTCTCAACGAATCCATCCAGGACTTCCGCCATTCAGCAGGAGCAGGACGAGCGTAGTATTCTATCACCACCGTCCCCGTCTCCCACGACCTCGTCCGGTGAGGACGTCGATGGAGACGACTATTTTCAGCCGTCACCAATGCGGTTTCGATTGGCACCACCGCGGCCGCCGCCTCATCGGCGCACAAGCAACAGTTCGTCAGGAACTGGCTCTAGTGTGTAAGTAATTGGCTTAACTTTAATGCAGTAATGTCTTCCGAGTGATTACATTTTAATTTTTATTATTGTTTGGTTTAGGTGATTGGACATTCCAGGACTGCAGGATAACTATTTAATGTATGTGATGTGCGTTTCACTAATTCAACGATCGCCACGAGCGATTTATGTATATACATAATAGTATTGTTTGTGATATAGTTGACTACTTAAGAATTAATGTAGAACAATTAATTTTCATATAATTTGTCATTAAAGATAATAATTTTTATTGATAACTTTTGATTGACTGATTTAGAAATATTGACATTGAATAAGTAAAATTGGCGATCTACAATTAATCTAAATAAAGTTTTAATAATTGTCATTTGAGGGTTTCTTTTTCATAGTAAAATTTGTCTATGTATATCATGTTTATGACTTTTTCACTGCTAACGGCTTGGTACTTCATCGATCAACACATTGATTGTTGGTACGGTGTTGGTGCGATTGAATCCAAAGGCCGGAGATTGTTGATATGAGGCGCATTGCTGTTAGGTGTGTGAGTGAGGTGTGAATATGCTGCTTGTTGTTATCGTGTTTCCATGCTCTCGCTACAGACCCGATTTCAGTCGTGTAGATGTTTACCTCCGATCATCACGCGCATTCTTCTCCCGGGTAACCACGAGGTTTCATTAACCAAGATAGAAATTTAACGCCGCGGCTTCTGCTTTGCTGTTGGCGCATTCTGCACATCGACTATACTCGAGTTTGCTTAATCGCGTTCCGTACGCGTTCTTTACCACACTACGTGTATTTTGCAGTAAATTGGTGTTCGTCCCATTATATTGGTATTATAATACAATTAAATTACTGCTCATCTGAACGCGCGATGTGTGAAGGTGCGTAGCATTAATTTGTCAAATTTTATTTGTATTTCATCAACAATTAACGTGTCCTTAGTGTAAATTTATGGCGATCCGTCGACCGTCGGCTATCATCTCAAGCGTTTATTAAAAATAATATTATATTTTATTATAAATTGTTTTCTTTGTATAACATCTGTCCATTTTCTGTATCCTGAGTGATATTTGGAAAATGGGTGTCTTTGTAGTTTTGGTTCTTGTCTTTCTTGAACTTTGGATTTGCTGCTCTCTAACACTCTGTGCTTTCCTTTTTCATTAGTGAACATAAGTTATACTTGTAGGTTTTGGTTATTTTTAATCGCAAGTTGCAATTTTTCTGTTTGTGACACTCTGTAGAGGAATGCCACGAATATTCGGCTACTATTCGGTATTCGGCCTATTCACGGCGCCTCTTTGTTTTGGTATTCGGTATTCGGCCGGAATAATAGTACCTATTATTCGAATACCAAATCATAGAAAAAGACACATCATATTAATCATGATATGTATTTATTATCAAATTACAGCCACTTCAATAAGTAAAATTAATCATCGGTAAGTTGTGATGGATAAAGCAAGCTTTTCAGCATTTGACGGTAGCAAGCGATTACGCTTTTCGTCGTAAATGGTACCAGCTTCAGAAAATAACCTCTCACTATACACGCTACTCGGGAGAAGAAAGATAAACTTTAGCAAATTTCGAGAGAGGATCAGGATCAGGATCAGCTTTTCCGATCTAGGCGATTTGATTTCAAATAAAATCCATCTCATTTGCCACAGTATTCTTCTCCACGTTCTCCTCATCATTACTATTTCGCATATTATCTTTGGCGACTTCCTCAAAGCAGTTCAGAAACTGTCGTGTATTTCAAATGTCTTATCATTTTCGTTCAGTTTTCTCTTCTTACGGCGTGGAAAAGTCGTACTTAGTGCCGAATATTCGGCCTTCGGCCGGCAGCATTGCCGGATATTCGGTATTCGGCAAATCACTATTAAAGTGGCAGCTCTACTCTATACCATAATTTCCTATGACATCCATGCATAAATGTGCTGCATTTGTTGTTTTGGAGTGTCCCGTTTTGATCTATGAATTTTTAATTTACAACACCCTGTATATCAATTTTCATTTAGGTCACGTGAAAAATAGCCATATGTGTAGTGTTTGAAGGTTTGTCGTTGACATATATTCTAAAATGAAGTTGTTTTCTTTTTGTAACACTCTGTATATTAGTTTCCTTGATTGTCCAGTGAAAACGAGCGACGTTTGTAGTGTTTAAAGTTTTTTGTTTGCACTTTAAATTTTCCTTCTGTAACACCCTGTTTATTTGTGTTCATTTTCAATCACGTAGAAAATTGGCTAATTTCATTATCCCGGTCGAACTTTACAAAGTAGTACTTGCTTGCATGTGCGCGGCTATACAGATCGTAAGTCCTGCTTCAATATGGCGGCCCGTTTTCTGTTGACTTGTAAAATTTAAACTTGTATTCTATTGTTAATAGATAAATAGAAAGATATATTCACTTCTTTGATTTGTGCACCCCTTCTATCATTACAGGTACAAGTCTCTAAGAGAGTTCACTCTCTCAGGGTATGATCCCTCTATAAAAATTGTTAAGGTAACCTGTATGATTTGTGTACTCCTTCTTTCATTTTCAGCTACAGGTCAGAACTTGTAAGAATATTTTTAAGTGTCCCTCTCTTGAGGCGACTTAAAACTTAAATATTTGAACAAGACTTCATAGGATTGTCCTTATAAGGAGTTCTCCACTCAGGGATGATCCCCACCATAAAGTGTTGATATACCTGATAATTCCGAGGGGATGAAGCGCAGAACATCAGAAGAAGCTGTAGGATGAGGCGGGAACTGTCGTGGATCGACCGTAGACTGTCTTATAACGACACGTGCCAAGAATTTAAAAATCTCATCCACTCCTGTTCTCTTTCTTCTATCTCCTCCTCTTCTCTACTCTGTTCTCATCCTTCTGTCTTCTACTCTTCTCTGCTATTCCTTCTTCTACTTCTCCTATTTCTCCTATTTCTCTGGTTCTCCACTTACTTTTCTTACTTCTCATATTATCGCCTTCACTTGTATTTCAATTCCTCTTATATTTCATTTGAGTTTACATATGCAACCCAAATTTCACCTGTTATTTTTATATTTGAGAAAAATTCCTTCTACACCTGAGATTCGATCCGTGTCTACTAGCATGCCAGCAAGGTGCACGTATCCACTCGACCACTAAGTGATTTTATCATTGTTATTTGATTCTTCTATTTATGATTCTACTTTATTCAACTTTTTAAAAACAACAACACGACACAAACAACAACTATATATTGTACACGGTCGACGCACTTAAGGTTTATATGGAATATGATTTAAGACATCAATCCTGCAAACGGCAAAGGGGAAGCCAGAAAGAAATATGAAGAAGTATATAATATTACATTTTGTTTTACTAGCAACATTAAAAACTACATACAGGTTTTTAAAATCGGAAATCATAGACAGCTCTTAAATCTCCTGAAAGCAAAACTTGCCTTGTAATACGCACATCTCTAACATTTCTGCGGCGGAAGCGGTAGACTCCTTGGCCCAAGTGCTCCTAAACTTCTTCTACAGCCACCGACGTTGTTTATTTATACTAATTAAAACACACAAAAAAAGGTGTAAGCAAACATTAAAACACAAACAACTACAATACAATACAAAACATTTACATATAAAAAGGAATTCTACGTGGACAGTACAACAAACATATATGTACACATTAATACATAAGACAATACAGCAAAGTTATATACACAATAAAATAAGTTCTCAAGTTCTACATACTCAATTACATAACACAAATAGCAATCAAGAAAATGTGCGCAATGTACTAATTCTGGAGTTGAAGCGCGATAAATCATTTAGTCAGTAGTCGATGGCAACCGATCACCAAACAATTCTATTGCTTGAACCGTATTAATCTCTTGACATGCTAATAGTCGCGAGGAGGATCGACGGATAAATAGAACCCGGGCACGTCGCACAACAGTACACGACGAACTAAACTGGAAGAACAGCAGCAGCAATGCACATGCTGATAATACTGCGGTACCGAGTTATACTAGAAGTAAACAAGTATAAACAATTTTAAAAGGAAAGGTGTAAAATTGAGAAACTAATAATTTAACCCTCAAGCAAAGCAAAACGCGTATTACCAACAAACCAGTGCAAGATGTACTGAGCAGCACAGCGAATTGCCAATTGAAGCTGGCGACCGGCACATTGCTGTTCAATTGCAAGCACACAGTGTGGTGCGCAAGCCAAGGCCGAACAGAAAACATAAACAAAGTGACGAAAATTTACGGATCATATAAATAACATTAATTGAACAAAATTTTTAAAGTTTTTCTCTCTTGCTCTAGCTCACCTCATTTTATATTTCTATCACACTCACATTTTGGAAAATAAATTAATCAACTATCCATATTATATATAACCACAAAAACAAGCCAAAATGCACGCGGGCCTACAACAGACATTTCTATTTATAAAGAATTTGTGATACGTGAATCCATGACATTAAATAATATTTTATTTTGAAGTGGTATTAAATTACAAATTTGAATTTGGTTTGACAACACAAATGAGCATATTTATTATTACTTGAAGAAGTTATTTAGGAAAATAATTTCTTACCGATATTCAAACGTACGAAACTTACAAATGTTCTAACAATACAAGCTTCCCAGATGTATTTCCTACAACAATAGAATACAACGCGGGGAAATATTAAATTCTACATCTTGAGAACTACCGCTGATATTACGAGGATAGTTAAAGAAGCAAAAAAATAAACAGCCTTTCGAACACCTAAATACATTTTTGTCGCTCTTCTGCGACCTGATAAAAGTTCCTAATGAAAATTATAAAGAAATTTAATACTTACAATCTGATGCAAGAATGGTCCTTCAACGATGTCAGACTCAGGTGCAAAATCCCTAAAACCCCAAAAAATTAGTCCTTCAAACATAAAAATGCAATTTTGGGAGTCAATTTGTAAGATAATCACAAAACTTAATTAGGAAAATGATAAAGAAATTTAATACTTACAATCTGATAATAGAATGGTCCTTATACGATGACATACTCAGGTGCAAAATCCTTAAAACCTTTAAAAATTGGTCCTTCAAACAAAAAAATGCAATTTTGGGGGTCAATTTGAGAGATAATCACAAAAGTTAAGTAGGAAAATGATAAAGAAATTTAATGCTTACAATCTGATGATAGACTGGTCCTTATACGATGTCATACTCAGGTGCAAAATCCTTAAAACCTTTAAAAATTGGTCCTTCAAACAAAAAATGCAATTTTGGGGGTCAATTTGAGAGATAATCACAAAAGTTAATTAGGAAAATGATAAACAAATTTAATACTTACAATATGATGCAAAAATGGTCTTTCTACGATGTAAGACTCAGGTGCAAAATCCTTAAAACCTTCAAAAATTGGTCCTTCAAACAAAAAAATACAATTTTGGGGGTCAATTTGTGACATAATCACAAAAGTTATTTAGGAAAATGATAAAGAAATTTAGTACTTATAATCAAATGAAAGAATGGTCGTTCTACGATGTCAGACTCACGTGCAAAATTCCTAAAATCAGCAGAAATTAGTCCTTCGACCATAAAAATGCAATTTTGGGGGCCAATTTGAGACATAATGACAAAAGTAAATTAGGAAAATGATAAAGAAATTTAATACTTACAATCTGATGATGAAATGGTCCTTCTACGTCGTTAGATTCAGGTGAAAAATCTTTAAAACCAGCAGAAATTGGTCCTTCAAACATAGAAATGCAATTTTGGGAGTCAATTTGTAAGATAATCACAAAAGTTATTTAGGAAGATGATAAAGAAATTTAGTACTTACAATATGATGCAAAAATGGTTCTTCTACGAAGTCAGACTCAGGTGCAAAATCCTTAATACCAGCAGAAATTGGTCCTTCAAACATAAAAATGCATATTTGGGGGTCAATTTATGAGAAAATCACAAAGGTTAATTACGAAAACGATACAAAAATTAAATACTTACAACATAATGTAAAATTGGTCCTTCTAGGGTGTCAGACTCAGGTGCATAATCCTTAAAACCTTCAAAAATTGGTCCTTCAAACTAAAAAAATGCAATTTTGGGGGTCAATTTGAGAGATAATCACAAAAGTTAATTAGGAAAATGATAAAGAAATTTAATACATAAAACATGATGTAAAAATGGTCCTTCTACAAAGTCAGACTCAGGTGCAAAATCCTTAAAACCAGCAAAAATTGGTCCTTCAAACATAAAAATGCCATTTTGTGGGTCAATTTCTGAGAAAATCACAAAAGTTAATAAGGAAAATGATAAAAAAATTTCAAACTTACAATCTAATGCAAAAATGGTCCTTGTACAATGTCAGACTCAGGTGCAAAATCCTTAAAACCAGCAGAAATAAGTCCTTCAAACATAAAAATGCAATTTTGGGGGTCAATTTGAGACATAATGACAAAAGTTAATTAAATAAATGATAAAGAAATTTAATACTTACAATCAAATGAAAGAATGGTGGTTCTACGATGTCAGACTCAAGTGCAAAATTCCTAAAACCAGCAGAAATTAGTCCTTCGAACATAAAAATGCAATTTTGGCGGTATCTCGTAAACTAAAAGAGATAATTAGGATTGAATTGCAGCGTCTTAATCTACGGACTATTCTCTATAAGATAGGATAGTTAAAACGGAAATCTGAGAGATGAAGTTTTAATTCTTAAGATAAAATTGCCAAGGGGGGGGGGGGGGGGCTTGATAATTTTTATCGACTATTTTCGATAATTAATATCTCTTAACCTAAAAGAGATAGCAACCAACAAATTGCTGATTATGAAAGACTGAAAAATTATCAGATAAAACTATAAAATAATTATATTTCCAACAGTAAAAGGTCAAAAAACGCGACTAAAAGTACTAAAAAGTGACATTTTTCAATTTTTGTCCATTTTATACAATCGCGAATATCTCGTAAACTAAAAGAGATAAATAGGATCCGATCGCAGCGTCTTAATTTATGGCCTATGCTCTTAAGATAGGATAGTTAAAACGGATAGTGAAATATGAAATTTTAATTCTTAAGCAAAAATTGCCAATGGTGGGGTGCTTGATAATTTATTTCCAGGATTTTCGACAGTGAATATCTTCCAAACTAAAAGAGATAACAACCAGAAAATTGTAGATTATGGAAGTTTGGAAAATTCTAGTTTAAGGGTGTCGGGTGGGGGTTGGAACCATAACAAGTGGCTGGCAATGAGCAGCGCATGTGATAATAATGTTACGAATAAAATATGCAAAAATTGAGTTTGCTAAAATAACGAATTTGACATCATAATTGGTACATCTTTGTTGGCTGTTTACTGCCAAAGAAACCACGATCCAGGTTTCATAATTGGGGATCGTTCTTTGCTGTGTTGGGTACACACATCTTTTCTAAAATGACGAAAGTCTGGCCGTCACCGGCTCTTAGCCTATAAAATAACTAAACTTTGAAGCTTCATCCGATCGGCAGGAAAAATCAAAAATTAATATAAATAATTCCAATCCCTAGTCCGTGGCCCCTTCGTATCGGGGCAAGTTTTTACTTTGATGGTCCTGACGCCCTGTGAATATTTCGCGTAACATTTCGAAGCAACATTAGATAAGTGTATATATGTAGTTGAAATCGAAAATAAAATGATGAAAGAGCGCACGCATTGTCGAACTATGTTTAAAGAGTTAAAAAAAGTTGTTTGTTAACCAACACTGATAAGCGTGCCCAACGAAATTGTGAACACGAGTACTTGTGCACGCACTTGATGTGCATTTTAAAGCAAAATAATTTAATTTTTTAATGTGATACTTACCTCAGTTGATCACTGACGATATCCATATGGGCAATACGAGAATTGACTTGCATTTCACCAATATTCTGCTAGCAAATGTCGATCAAATATAACACACACTGAATTAAATACTCAAGAAACATGGCTAGCCACGAGGTACACGCGCCTACCCGCCGACGATCAGGAACAAACTAGATGCCGGGCGCGTACCCGGCTCGCACTAACATCACGCGACTAGGTGCGCGCTCTGCACTGCAAAAAAGTGGTTTGGCCACGAACGCTGATAAACCAACAACAAAAACTATTCTATTCTGTACCCAGAAACTAAGGCACACTGTCCACGATATGTTTGTGACGATTACAAGTAGTCTGCAATTGAATATTCATGCATTTTTGCGATCGGTGTGGACAGTATGCCTAACTTCTAAAACTTTGAAAGAAAGTACGGAATAAGTAACAAACTAACTTAATAGTAAATTATGTTTTCCTTTCAAAAGTAATATATGCGCTAAATTAAAAATGCCCCATTTGAGTAAATCTAAAATAATTAATTCTTTATTACATTAAATTTAAAATTACATGGCCACAAAACATATACTTACTAGGTGTCTAACACTAATAATTTTCAATTTGCGGATCGATCATGTTTGCAGTTATAATTTTAATAAGACGAAAACGGTGTTGAATGTTCACGCTTAGATTATTTCGCTTTGTTTTTGGACATTAAACACATAATGATCCCAAGAATGCATATTATTTCGTTTTCAACATATCAATTTTGATCATTTTTCTTTTATAAGAACCTAAACGCTATGTTTTATATTGTATTCACATCGAACGACACACTTTTTCATTAATTAATTCTTTAGATTCTTCACTATCTATCGTTAATTTTATTTTATTATTATGCTATTGATAGATAGTCAGAGATTCGTAGTAAGATATAAAGAACATCGGTTTGCTTGTTACATTCACCAATCAATCAATGACTCGACGGCTGTGTTGTGTGAACGTAATAATTAGAATATTGGAAACAAATGCTGTCGTTACACGTGTAGTACGTAAGTATGGACAAAACGTTGCGTTCTCGCAAAGATATTTTCACGTACGCGAATTCAACGAAAAGTAAACTTGCATTCACCTCTGCGTCGAATTCGTACGTTTGCACCAGTATGATTTGCTTTTGTTTAAAACTTGTTTGTATGCTTTGCAATCCATGAGTTTTAAATTTAAAATAATAACGAACGCACGAATTCAAATTCAATACCATTATGATGTATGCACGGAAACGGTAAAAAACACACTCATTGTCGAAAGAAAGACATACAAGTTAGTTTCAAGTAGTATATTCACAGACGTGCGAAGAGTATTTCCAAATTATTTCCATAACGGACCCAAAAATTATTGGCTTAAATATATTTATGTGTTATGCATAATCGATTGCAAGATTTAAGATTTTTCATATGCCTGCCTAACGCGTTTTCTCTGCAAACTCTTCATTTTAAATTTGCATTTATAAACATTTTTACATAAACATTAAGATAGACCCATCGCACTGCGCAAATTTTCTCAATTCATTTAATTAATTATTGTGCTCATCATCATGTATCATTTTGTATTATGTATATCATAATTCTTTCATGTTTGTTTTGTCTCATATTCATATTTTTAGTTTGTAAATATTAAGAGCGCCGCCCTCGTTCGCAACGGTTACTTACTAAATATACGGCCGGGAGCGGTTCCGTGACGAAGCGGTTTATGTATATTTTATATATAATATATATATATACTTTATGTATAATCAATATCAATAAATAAAAATAATTACTTTGTACAAAAAGCTTGAATCAAGGTAAGGTTAGACATGCATCGTTTATATAATCTAGGTATTTTCAAGTTATGGAGGGTCTATAAATATACCGTTTACATCTAGCTACAATGTTAATTTGATGAAGTATCGCGAAAAGCACGACGCATCGCAAAAGCTTGAATATTTTTGTTAGATTTGTAGTTATTGTTCTTGAGTACAACTTACAACTCGCAAGGTTTGCGAATGCTTTGCCCACAAAGGCCGTGCGGTCGCCCCTCGAATAGGGATAAACTTCTCACGACACTCCGTTGACTAAATTATATGATTACGATTATTATCGCGGCTCTTTCCTCAAGAAAGCAATCTTCGCGCGTGAACAACCCATGCCGTCGACGTCCACCTGCACTCTTCGCAATGAAATGCACAAAGATTCCTTCCCTCTGGACCAGCTGCTGTAGCATATTTATCGATCAAGTTTAGTTTTAATCTGAATTTCAAATAAAGTTGTTAAGTAATAAAGTTTTCTTCAAAAACATGGACTGACACGTGCAGAATGCTTCCAGGTGCATCGGAGGCGTTCTACGTAACGCACTCGCCGCCATTCCAAAAACGTTTGCACATGTGAAATAAGTATTAAATATTATTGTTATTTTTTGCTTCTTTTCCTCGCTTATAAATACTCTCTGTAAGCTACGGCTATGTACGAATCCGACGGCGGCCGACGATGAAAGCGCGCGACGCGTGACGATTTTCTTGAACTCTACTAAGACACTTTCGAACCAACTCGTCGTTTAAGTTAATATTGATTTCATTATGGTTGTCCTCTTAGGTATAGCTCTATCTATATTATAGATTATGCGGTGATAAGTTGGTTATTTTCTATAATGTGCTCTAGCAGCGGCACGCGCGGCGTCGGCGGGCGTCGGATGCGCGGCCCAGTTTGCTCTTCATACGTGGTGCATCATTTCGAGTGGAAAAATATTAAGTACGATGACAACATAACAACAATTACAAAAACCGTGAGTGTGTGTACGTGGAATGATTCGTATTATAAACCTAAGGACTACGTACAATAAAATATTGATATGGCATACGTGAAACGAACACAAAAATAAAAACGTAACAAATACTCGGCGTCACCGGCGTTAATAATAAAAAATAACATACAAAACGAAACACAACAAACGAATCCCTGCTGCTTGGAGATTGTATATTTGTTTTTGATTACGTTTCTTGTTGATTACGTTGTTGAATGCTGTTATGAGGTGTTAGATCTAGTCTGCCTGGCATTTGGTTAATGACTTATTTCACTCGAGTCCTAGCAGCAGGGAATGTTAATTCCCCAGTGCCTAAATATGCATTTCGAAAAATAAAGCCCTACTACACTAATCTTTTCATTTTGTTATACAGATCTCGACGCACGCCCGTCGCATCGTTTGCTTACTCCTTCACTTCAAAATATTTGTAAGTGGGATTCTCGTAACCGTTGATTTGCATATTGGCGACATGTCTTTCCTCAGGCGTAGCCGCCTGATCTACCTCGATGAATCCTTGACTTTGTGGGGACCGCGCTGATCGGCGCCTAGCAACTGCAACGCCTACGACAACTGCGGCCATCAGGGCCATTCCAGCGAATGCCAGTGTGAAGTACACGCTACGACCATCCCGACGCCCGTATACTTCGCGATGAACGGAGTAGCTCTAAACATAAACAATCGTTAGAACTCTATTTGCCAAGCCTTCAATTATGGAAAACCAAAACTTACGGGTTCGCCATGACCGAAATCATGAGTCATTGCATGCGCAATCCTAATCACGTCCTGTTGATGGGCCACAGCAGCAACATCCTCGACAGCTTGCTGCACAGCGGCATCATCAACTTCACGATGACGCGGTGGTACATCTTCATCATCTACGGTCGAAATCGAATTGCTCATAATTTCAGAGACGGTGCTGCCGAAGGTGGACGACATAGTGGTCTTGTCTTCCGGCAACGATTCATCTTCCATGTCCTCAGCGTCAAAGTTGCTAATCTTCTTGCCGAGAACAGCTTCGACGCGCTTCTTCTCCTCACGTAATTCAGTGCGCTCCTTCTTACGTTGCTCCTTGCGGGCTTTCTCCTGCAGCCTCTGTCGCTCGCGCTCCTGCTGCTTGCTGACAACCTCATCACGGTATTTATCCAGAATGGCCTGCTCGGCTTCCGCCGTCATGGCGAGCAACGCACCGGGCGTCTCGTCCTTCGAGCGCAGCGCTTGGATGTAGTCATCCATCAACTGTCCAATCTTGGCAGACAGTTCCGGGAAGCGTTTCAGCATTTGCATGCTTTGATTGACGGTGCGGTCAATGTCCGTGAGGCGTTCCAAAGTTCTGGGCTGCTCACGGGCGGCAGCTTCCAGGCTGCTCGACAGCAAGTGTCTGTAATGAGTGATGGCATGGGCACGGTCCTTGTGCAACGAACGCAACAACTTCTGCAGACATTTCTGCACGCGATGAGTCTACAAAACGCAAACGGACACATTAATTAATTCGTAATATCAAATGTCAAATTCGCACAGAAATCGCAATGCTCATCGGGTTTATTTTGGACCAATTTCTATTGTTCGGAACAATGCATTTGCGTTCCCAGTAATATCATAGTCATCATTTATAAAAGCTCTCATTTATCATTTAGTTAAATCGTGCAATTTTCATTTTAAATATTGAAATTGCAAATCAGTACAACAATACTATTTTAGGTCAATAAGCATGTTCAATGAGATCAATTTGATTTGATACTCATGCCCAAAGTACCAAATGAATAATTTCCTATTGGACTTTACCTTTTATAATTAGCTAATTAGATTTTAAAATTAGTTTCGCCGAATTAACAAGTTAAATTTAAACATATCAAAGTAGTGCCTACGTACATTTGGTGGTTGGTCATTCAAAGCCTGGGTATAGCAGCCCATCGCTTCCTTCTTCCGTTGATTGATGTGCGCCAGAACGCGTTGCTGATGCATAGCAGCAAGCTGATGTTTCTCGGCGTCGCCTTCCTCCTCGAGCGCTTGAACAGTCTGCTGGAATCGCTGAGTCATGCGCTGTTTAAAGGCGTCGGCGCCACGGGGGTCAGTCGCCCGCATGTCCTGGTAGCGCTCTTCCAAGTCGGACCAGTCCTTCATCACGTGCGTGACTTTCTCGCGATGCGTCTCCTCGAGCCGCTCCTGAATTAGCAATGCGCGTTACCGTTAATGACGACCGTTTCAATTATGCAAGAGTTCTAACATTCGTTACCTGCGCCTCCTTGTAGCTCTGATGCTCGTTGCGCGGGTCAAAGTGCGTAAAGTAGGGATCTGGCGTGGGCATGGACGTTGTTGAGGGGGTGGTAGTAGTCGAAGGCGGCGGCGGCGTGGGTTTCGGTGTCGACGTGGTTGACGACGGTGTGACATCCCAGTCCTGATCGGAATCGTCGTACTCATCATCATCTTCATCGTCCAAGTCGTCCACGTTAGGGTCATCGGCGAGTTCAGTGTCGTCGCCCAGATCGTCCAGGTCGTCTTTGTCGTCGTCTTCGTCTGAATCCATAGAATCATCATCGGCGTCCAAAAGATCTTGGTCGTTCTTCAGAATGGCAAGATCGATTGGTTTCTTCACCGGCTTCATGTTGTCTGCACGTGAAAAAGGAACAAACATGGAATTAAATTGAAATTGCACCTTTAGAGCGCTTGTTGTGTAAGGTGGATCAGTGCAGGTCCGGGCCGGTGAGGGGTGAGATGCACGGGCGCGGAACGGTCGAAAGACGGACGACCGCCGAAACGAAACGATAGGATCATGTCCGATATAATCCCGGGCAGATTCACGTTCAGTGGACCATGACTTCCGAAATCCAATCAACCCAAAGCTCCCTTAGAGAATTATAAATTTTCTCCGTGTGTTGCAACTACGTTAATGTCTCACATACAGTATATTTCCGGAAAACATTAACGCTAAAATCATTATGAAATTGTAATAGCCGCAAGACATATTTCATTGCTTTCCTAACGGTTAAATAATAAAATAACTCTTTAGTAAACCGATAAAAATATTTTTATTAAACTTTAAATTGTAAATGATTGCTTCCATCGAGTTTCAAATAAAAATATTTTCTTTTCAAGTAAAATTTTTTAAGAACCAGTATTTCAGCGTCCTGTATGGGCTATATACGTGCATCACTAAACCTTTTCCAAAGTAGACAGTACTGCTCGCAGTGCAAGTCCCACCGTGGTATATATATATATACGCCAAGAGGCGAGAACCCAAGAGTTCGATTCAGCGCGAAAAAGCCATTTATACGTGTCAAGTCGACAGGCCTCGCTCCTTCGTGCCGCCGCCGAAGCACGACTCGTGGCCGTTCAGCAGGGCCGCGCCAACCACGACCCGGGCGACGTACGATCCGCGAAATATTCCCATCCAGCGTCGCTGCCGCCGCCACCATGAATAGTACTTTGTACGGAAAACCATCCCGTCGCCGCCAACGCGGTGGCGGCGGCTTCCATCCTATTCAGATTCAACTTATGCCCGCCGTACACACGCGAAGGAGGCGCACAGCTCGCAGCGCCGATTATTAATTAATCCAAACCGGGCCGCTCAACAATGAGCGCGAGGGAGGAGGCGAATTTATCGCTCTCATCTGCCAGAACATAAATCAAACTGAACGAAGACGCGGCGGCATTATTAAAACCGACGTCAACCCCTTTTTGGAAAGTATTGAGGAAGCTAGCGCCAAGCGGACTCATCTCGTTTGGAAGAAAACGAAACGCCTGGCGCATACACCCGAGCGACAACTTCGCTCTTGCGCTTATCCCCTCGTTCAGCATCCGGTAGTTAGCCGCGACCGTGTTATGGATACATCCATTTCGGGGTTTCCCAGTACCCATGAGAGAAATTAGGACACGCGAGCCGTTATACAGTGCACTTATTTTTCCCATCCGCTTGCGGCATGCTCGTGTGGTTCCTCGTCCGTATTGCTTTTAATTATACTAAGTAGCTCAATAAAAAAAGGTCATCGAGGTGGTTGGGTGTGTGTATTTATAGCAGATCGATCGCACGGCGGCATCATCGTCGGCATGTCGAAAGCGTGCGCGGCAAGATGGGACAATATAAAATAATAATCGCGGATGAAACTTTTAGTAAATTGATTTTCTGCACCAAAGAAGCACAGAAAACAAGCTCACGCTAGCCTGAGTTAAACGATCTAAGTTAGGACGACCGAAGACCAACCATGCCACGCTATGCCAACGATGAAATTTGCTTTTTGTGACGATAGAAGTTTGATTATGTTCGATAATAACGAAACTACAAAACTTGACTTCAAACAAGCTACGGTGCAACGAGCTCCCGTTCTGGAACAAATAGTTGCCAACAGTTTCTCATCGGGCTCTCAAACACACACCACGTTTTCCTACATGGACCTTAAACCCAGGGCTCATGCAACGCATTGCCAGCGTCCTAAATTAATTTACGGTCCATTGTTGTCAAGGTCTAGCACCGCGCCGCACACAATCACATCTCTCGCTCATAACGTGCTGCAACGCGACGGTGGCGTGTGGAGTTAACTTAATTAAAACCACCTAGCAGGTTAATGCTAAATGGCGGCTGAGGCGGCACGGGAGCAACGTTGGAAACATCAGTTTGCACAATGTTGCGGGAAGGCGCGCAGAGACGTTATAACTTCGAGGACGGGCGTTCAAAGACCGACGTCTCCGCCAACGACGGCGATGCTCCCTTGACGCCCGCTTCAAGTTAAACACCCGCTATAAGTTCGTAATTAATCAAGCGGCAATAAAGTTATAAACAAATTGCTCCGTGCTTGCGGTTGGCTAGTTTGCGCCAAAACCCTTGCATCGCAGAGCACACTCAACGAAGCGAAGCCAGGGCGGCCCGCGGCGCAAGCAGAGAATAAATGTCCGTGCAATTTTTCTCATTCCGCGTTCGAGCGCAATTTGTAATCGCGTAATTATGAGCGTGAACGAACGCAAACGAGCGTGAGCGCGTAAAGTGCGCCACGCTGTGCGGTACGGGCCGAGGTTCCTTGTTCGTTTTAATAATTTTCCGCGACGCTTTTGAAAATAAATTCAGCACGTAATGACGTTATGCCGCCTGGTGTCGTCTAGCAATGCGAGGACGAGATAGCTGCGCGCCACCGCCTCCCGCCGTACATCGTTCCCGCGACGATGAAGCAAAACAGCGATGTGTTCATGAGGCGGTCGTGATGAGGCGCCCGCCGTTTTATATCCGTGCAACATTTTCCTTAAAGAGGGCGACACACAAGCTTCATTACGCCGCGTAATTGCGCGGCGTGGCGCGCGGCGGAACGCGGCGCAAGAAAATTACGTAATAAAATCACCTTCCCAACTTTTATCATTATTACACGCCGACCGAGTTTGATCGTCAAACAAAAACACATCCCAGAAGTGTTTGCATATCAAATGAAATGCGCACGCGGTACAACTTAATCCCGCCACGTTTAATTCAAAAATTCATTCATCAAATGAACCGAGTAGTTTGGATCCTACTCCCTTAGACGAAACGAGGATTTCATTCATACAAAAAATTCCTGTTATATTATTTCCTTGTTTCCATGATATTCGAAATTGAAAAGGATTATTGAACAGGCGCAATATGGTGTAAAGCCCAAGCTAGACTACTGAAACCTTGGTGAAAAAGAAATATACATAGGAAAATCGTAATTCCCAATCTGCCCGGCTGGAGCGAATTGGGTTTTTAATAAACACTTCCGACTCTCAGCCCGTTCCAATTTCGCCATCCGCTCGTCCGCGCGCGTCCACTCAGCATGGAAAACCGCCCCTAGTTTTCATCTCAATAGCCAATTCGATAGTGCAGTTCCCATTTTTTATGCATCATCAAAATCCCCGTTTCAATACCATGCAATCGCATCGTGCAACAGCCTGCCCAATCCAACTCAGATAGACATTCGTATTGAAGTTGAAATTTGCACAATGATACAGAGCAGCGACGAATATATGTCAAAAAATACGCCCGGAAAAATATTTCCACTACTAGTTAATCAACACCCGCGGTGAATGGTTACCAGTTTTTAAAGTATGTAAAAATATCTGCGGAAAACATCAAATAACGGAAATATCTATGCTGGCCGACGCAAAACAGAATACAAAAACTAATAAATCGAAAACGAGCGTCGCTGACAGCAGGAATTATTTATGTACAAGTAGCAGTTATTTATTTTAAACGTCCACGGTACATTAACCAGGGAACTACTTAAAACGTGTACTGGGAATGGCATTTGTTGCCATTATTAATAATTTCAAATGCGAAACTTGAACGTCAACATGATTATTATCCTCATTCGCGTTCGGCGCAAACAACGAATTTTGAGCGGCGTACGCAATTAAAAGCAAACGCACTAAAAGTTAGGGAAAAAACGCACGCGCCAACAAGCAATGCCACAAACATGTTCAGTGCCGTCGCGTGGATCCACGGGAGGCAATAAACCAATTTGATTATGAAAAATGCGAGTTTAAATTGCGACACACTTTTTTGTCAAAAGCGTGCACGTACCGCGTCGAAATTGCTTTCCATCCTTCAAGCGTGTCCGGCGCCTCCGCCATACCAACGCCTCTCACTTCTCTCTTTGCATGACCGTAAAACAAACAAATTACTAATGAGCGAGGGCACGCTGCGCGATTTACAATTAGCCCTCATATATTTCGCCCTCGTTTTAATTATTCCACGTGAGAACGTGACGTGCGTCCCTCGACGCGCGTGCACGAGGGAGCACAGAGAAGGGAATGCGGAAGGACCACCAAGGGTGTGTGCGCACGACACTAATTAATAAACGCTTCGCCATTGCATCAACTGACCTTTGAAGTGCTTCGGACAGCAGACAAACTCCACACCGCTGAAGAGTGAGATTCCACACGGCAATAGCATTGCGAAAGAGCGCAGCTGGAGTCCTCGCTCCTGACAAGCATTCGCAGCGGTTGCGTTCCATCGTCCAAACGTCCAGCAGTTACTCTGGTTGTGGATGTGATCGAAGAGGCAATTCTCCGGTACCAGCAAAGCGTCAGACTGGAATGGTCCTTCTATAAACAGCAAACGAACACAAATTTACATCACAACTTTGACGGGAACAGATGTGCATAAAAAATGTCGTAACAAAACTTTTTCTTAGAACCACCCACGTCAGTACAATTCCAATTTTCATCCCCGCTCCACCCCAACCCGCACATACATAATAAAGTTCGCGCGTGGGGCAAAAATACACGCGTGAAATAAAATAAGAGGGAAAACGGAAGAAGTGGCGTTGAATAAGAGGACATTTGACATATTTTTTGTCCGATTTATGAGGGCGCCGTCGACGCGAGTGGGGACCGAAACGAGTCAACCTGAAAAGCGCCAGCGACAGAAAATGTCCTGGTGGCAGGCAAGCCTGAAAGGCACTCTACTCGCGAGTGAGAGAATGGTGGGCGGATGGAGCGTCGTTGTGCCCATTGTGTTCGAGGTCGAGAAGTCTCGGTTTTACACAGAAGAACGTCGAGTCAAAGAAGCGACAAGCAAAAAGTTTAGCGTTAGACTTGATTACATTTTATTGTGCGATTAAAATTCCTGTAAATCTAATATATTCCATCTTAATGACCATAAAAAGCAATTCATATTTGTTATACTACAATATTCAAAAAATATAACAATATGTTACAAGAAGATACTTGAAATAATATGGTAGCTTTAAAAATCAATTCAAATAAAGCATTAATAAAGAAAATTTATGAGTATTATTATGTATCTACAAAAAGATTGCCTTCAGTAAAGTCTTCCATTCTTTACCCCTTCTTACTTCGTTCCTAGAACGTTCGTTTTTATGTATTTGCCTTATATTGCGATCCATTTTTCCTCATTTTCGTATCACAAATCGGATTAAATTGTATTTGCACAAAAAACGATAATTTTCAACGAATTATGTCGTTCGTTGCTTTTATATCACCTCTTTTATGATTTTATTCGCTTCTTTTTTATGATGCAAACGATATTACGATATTTGTTTTATCTTGTATGGTTTTGCGTCGGGTTTGTATTTGGAAAGAAACTTGAAGGTATAAAGCACGACGCGCTCCCAATTTTGTCGGTTGCCACACGAAGAACAGAGCAAAATTTTCCGACGTTTAGCATGTTTTGTTCAGCGCTTCCAGTTCTATGTTTTCGTTTCTATTTCCAATACACACAGCCACACAGGACGCTCAAGACTATGGCCACGTATATCTCTTTCGCGTTATTTGTGTTTCGCATTTCGTCTTTTTTAATTAAAACGCAGCGCGAAAAGGTGGCGCAAGCGTACCCGTAATACGATAGCCAAGCTGGCGTTTTCCTTTGCGCTGAAACCCGCCTCCATTCTCTCGGGTTTCGCGCGAAAAACTCGTTTCAGCTCCGACACCGCCGCGCGACGACTTGTTCTTTCACTCGGCGCGCATTTCATTCCCAGTTTGCTCATTAACGATCGAGTAATTAAATCGCGGACAGAAAAAATAGTTCCCGCGAGGCACGAAAATATTAATAAAAGAACAAAAACGCGCGCGCACTAGAGTGCCAGCGACGCACAGCACTTTGGGATCTTTTAGCGGCCATTCCGTCACGTTATCCGTTTACATTGGATTACAAAATGCAGTAGCGCGCACAATGCGCCAAACAGAAACAAACGGTGGCAAGCAAGCAACACGAATTGCCACAAAAACAAAACGTGTAACGTTTTTATGTGCCCTACCATTTTGCCCACTTTTTCCACTTTTATTCGCGTGTTTTAAAAAGCTGCAAAAATGGTTAATGGCGAGCGCAGAATACGGTCAACATCATAATAAATGCATTTGCGCGGCGTTCAACGACAGTGTGTTAATAAATAATTAATTTAAAAACAGCTAAAATATGTTTCGCGTTGCGCAAATATTGTCCAGTTGACCGCTGAACCGAAGCGCTCGTAAAATGATATTTGAGTATTTTATTTTATCTGGCGCACCGTGCGTCGGTTTGTGCCAGGATAAATGGACCAGCGGGCACACACGCCAGGCCCTGACCACAACTTTGTACCAACAGCACAATTCACGAACACGTAATATTGATTTAGCAGGTGTTCCGTGCCAAATACAAAATCGGGAGCTTTCGACGTCGTGTTGTAGGGATGTATGATTGAACAATAAATATTGCATTTGTGAACGTCGCCGCATTACAAATAACATACACGCGCCAACAGACAGTATATCAACATTAAATTATTAAATGCCCACTTTCGATGTCATACACGAGCGAGCATGTCAATCCGGAGCGTTAAACTTTTTACTGCCATCATATGTGCGATCCGAGTAGCAAATAATTGTTATCCTCGAGCGGGCAGTATGAATCCAAATAGATCTGCTGGAAGCTATGTTAACCCTAGTATACCAAAGTATACCAAAATTGTAAAATTTAGTAGTCTCTCAACGAAACAACAAATTAGTATTAAAATAGAGCTATTCTAGGCAATTACAAATATTAATAATCAAAACATGTCAATATAATCTAGGATTCCACCGTTATTATCCATCCACATTACGAATTATAACAATAGATGGATAAAAGCTCACAGCAGCATCGAGAGAGTTGTGTCTGTCGGAGGCGATTGTGTATCATCATTGCCATGGCGCAGCGCTGGGGATTTGGCACCAGTCGTAAATCCGTCGTTACATACTAATTATCCCTCGAAACTAATGCAATTAAACTCATAAATAATTACGCCGCTATGAACAACGCAGTGCTCGGTTGGGAGCGCTCGAGCCAATATATGTTGATGTGCATAAATTTCACAATTTCAGTGCGCGGCTATTGTCGCCGATGACGACGAGCACACAAACACTACACCAGACCATTTCTGCCCCACTGATGGAGGATGAATTCTGGATGCGGGCTGATACTGGAATCCAGCATGCCGGCGACGTGCGAGCCGTATTGCCGAAACGTGTGTTTACGCCGGCACCGAGTGGTGTACGCGTTTCCCCTGCGTCGAGCCAGCTTCCGTACGGGGGTGTAGGTAGTATGTAGCATGAGGTGTGGGTTGAACTTTCGGTGTATATGCGTTTGTCGTGTTGCGCGCCGCATTCGATCGACTGGGGGGAAATTCAGCGGTGCGTTGTAAAACGAGCCGATCGGGAATTCGATCGCGCGATAACAACAATGCCCGGAACAAAACGGACGTGCCCGGCTTGCGCTCCCGTGCACTAATCGCACAAAATACTCGCATTATTATTATTCGAATTTCTACATAGGGTTATTTTTTTTAAATTTCCGCATTTAGCATTTTTCCATTTGCGATTCATTCGATTTTATTTCCAGCGATTCGATTCATTTTACACTCTTGTTTGCAGTTATAATGATACCAGATTATGCATTCGTTCCCCTCGCATTGACAGAAAACTTCCGAGTGTCTGGAGCACGAAAAATAAAAGAAATATGCTATCGGTTTAAAGCGGAAGCGGGCCATAAAAATTTCCGATGCGAACGCATCGCGTTCGATCCGAGAGGCGGGCTGGTATGAAGTGGTAGAGAAGTACATTCGAATCTCCATGCTATGAACAAACGTGCCGTGCCCATGCGATGGAAATACGCGAGGAGTGAATTTTTAAAAAGAACCCGGGGGCAACCAGCTTTCTTCCTTCTTTTCATCCCCGACATTGCAGCGCAAAGCTCGCGAAACATTTTGCGCGCCGTCCTCGTCATTGTCGTCGCGAAAACTGCGGGCGTCTTTGGTCGCGTCGTCGTCGCCGCCTTTTTCATTCGTTCTCGCCACCGCCTGCTCCACCTTCCATCGTTAGAAACGTGTGCGAACATCGAGCGCATCGTTCAATCAATAACGCAACGTCGCTGAGATCCAAGCATCCAGAACAAGGTGCGGTGCGGTTTGGATGTAACATACGGAGGCGACGACAACTTTCTTACATCCGCACGCTCCGCATTCTTACACTCGGGGCAGGTGTTGAAAGGCGAGAGGTGAGAAGCTAACAAGCGACACACGCCCGACTGCACGCTAATGTGTGTTTACACGAGAAAACCCCCGGCGTTCACACTTGCCGTCGCACGAAATATGAATTCCAATTTCAAATGCGCGGAATTTGAATGAGCATCCCGAGCCCGCGCGTCGAACACAACGCGATTTAATTACATTCAGAAATTGCTTTTGCCTAGTTTGCCCCGCATAGCAGCGTATCTCCGGTCTGCATTAGAATATTACCGTGCGCGCTCGCGTTTGCGTTATAAGTGCGTTACCGTTCGGCGTACACTCACGCACTAATCACATTAGTTTACTAGGTTTGAGGGGGCGGCACAATCCCCCAATGCCGCAGTGTTGTTCGTTGCCGAAAGCCTCTTTGGTTGGACAAATCGCGGTCTTTCGGCGAATTCATTTGCATCGAATTCGCACAAATAATGCATAACTTTCATCGCCAGTGTGTCGATTAATTAATTGTGTTTTAATTACAGGCTCACCAGTGATTTATCTCAATCAATAGCATAAATTTACAAATGAATTTGCTATTTGGTGGAAAATGAATTTATTTTTGCTTACCTAGACATCTGAAAGGTTTAACCCATCTTGCAGTCTTGCACTTGCCACGTGCCTGAGCGCCAACAGTAGATCCAGTTCGGCACCAAGAGCCAATCTTCAAGTAGTGACTACTTTCAACGATGTTGGTGATGTCTCGTTTCGGATACATCTGTAGATAAAAAATTATATCATTAGGCTTACAGACACGAATTTAGAAACAAAAGTTCGAAACGTGTCATACCCCAAACGCACCAACGTACACGTGCCACTACTGCTCGTCAACATTAAAACGCAAATAACAATTGCGAGCACGAAGTTACTTTTCTAACTAAAGCTCTTCTTCGAGCCTTCGCAGATTCAGAATCCACCCACGCACGCTTAGCTCATTCGTTCATCACAAACAACGAAAAAGTTGAAGCGCGCACAGAGCACGAAATAAACATCCTCGTAGGCAGCAAGCACCAAGTTTAAATTAATATCACGGGGATTAAATGCTCTCATCATCCGTCGTCAGTGCAGACATCGTCGTGTCGAGTGCCACGAATAAGTTTCCCAAGATGTTCTGCTGCAAAACACGTACGTTGTACGAACGCACGAAAAGAGACTAATAAGTAGGAACAAACATTGCCAGTTTTGGACCAAAGTTAATACGAAACACTTGGCAAATTGTAACGTTGTTTGCATTCGGTGCAGATTCCAGGGTAGAAGATTTGCCCCAACAGGGAAAACTTAAACAATTGCAGATGACAAATCTAGGCGTGCGCTTTATTTGCGCTTTCGCCACCAAGCGACATTGTGACAAAGTGCGCAGAAGGTTTTAATAGACAAGTGGAAATTGAAAAATAGAATTCGAGCACGACTCGAGGCACGAGATTAAATCGACAATTTGATTTTGTTTTTGTTGGCACAATATTTTTTGTTTTAAAATGGAATGTGCAAAGCAGATGAAACGAATGAAAAGCAACAAAAGCGGAAATACATCACGATTGTTTCGTGTCGGGTGGCGTTCCTCGTTTGTTTTTGTCTTTTTTTTTTGTTCGCATCCTTCTTGTTACTTGTTTTTGTATGCCACCGCCGTGCGCGCGCGCCTGGCGGCTCGCACAAATTGGTTTTTTGAGCATTTCGGCTTTCCATTTTGAGCTAAAACGAATGCATGAAAGATGGCCGAAGAGGGAAAAGCTGATAATGATAGCGAATAACTCGACGCAGCTCTGGGACACTACCGACAAAAGCTCACATAAAACGCCCGACACGAACCGAGATGCTTCTCGAAAAGTTAAACTTGCAGAAGTTTAACTTTTATCTCCTCTATTGTGCGTCTAGGAGTTAGGAGCTCCTCCGCATTATAAGTCGCGTGATCACGCTAAGATATTTGTAATCGAATTAGGAAATTCGTTAGTTCAAAGTTGTAGCCATAATTCACCAAAGAAAAGGTCGTCGCTTTGAAAAGGAAAGAACAGGATGGGATAATGGCTAATTTTTATCGTTGGAAAGATGTGCAAAAGATGAGCAACCTAATTTACCGATTTAATTGATAAGTCTAATTAGACGTTGGCGCTGTCCGCGTTATTAAGAGAACACTTTTAATCAACTTTCAGGCCGACGGCCGCCGGGCCTTGTCCCAAGTCTAATCCGCTTAATTAATTAGGATTAAAATTTTATTTTTTACGCCACATTTCTGACACGAAAAATGTCGCCTATATTTTCAGACATATTTCGACTTTTTTGGCCCTCATCCATTCGATGAATGTAAGCTGCATATTAAACGAACGCATAACGAGCGCAACAATGACCAATCAATAGTCCATTTGTAATTATTTGCATAAATCATGGCTGTGTTTGTTGCAGACGTGTTTGGATATTGGCGCCGGAATGAATAGTTGCGCCATGTTGGCGCGGATGAGCGCAGACAAGGCGAGAGGGTCATTTGGCGCAAAAAACACGGCACTTATGGGCTTTTCAGTTTCCCATTCATTACCGTCGCGTTTAGGAATATGTGAACGGCAATTTCGTTGGTTGGTGCCCGATTGGTGTAATGCGTATTATTTGCATGTTGTGCACACACGAAAAGCCGGGTTACCCAGGCGCGTGCGCCTGCAAACATTGACAAAAAAACGCGGAAATTGCGAAACAGTTTTCGTTCAGTGCTCTCCGACGCCGAAAAGCCGATTCCAAACGCGACGAAAATTCCATTTTAAAATCAATTGTCTTTTTCGCCTTTAAAACGAGAGTGGGACGCACTGGGAAGAGAAAGGCTAAACCCGCATCCAGTTTACATTTTCCAATGTTGCTTTTGCACTCCAACCGGCCTCGGTCGGTCTGTTTGCTTTTCCGGGAACGCGTGATCATGTGATTGTGTGATTGGTGACGACGGCGGGGGCGCAAAGAAGCACTGTTTTATAAATACAAGCTGTCAGCGCATTACGTCCGCACCATTTGAGATAAATGCGCTTCGCAGTCACAGCTTTGAGCCTTGCGCACCATCGAAGCTATATTACACCCCCGCTTGTTTCCCCAATGCGACCCCAGTCATTGTTGCTGCGTCCGCTCTTAATGCCCGGAACAACCCTACCAAGCGATGGCTAAGAGTAAGTGCGCAAAAGGAGGAAGCGATCGACATGTCGATGTTCAAGTCGACGGACTAAGAACCAACAAGGGCGCGAGGGCGAGCATTGTCAGAGCGTCCTTGGAAGTGGTCGAAGTATCATCAAGTAAATTCCTTGGAAGCGAGACGAGGGAGGCACTAATTTCGGGATTAGCACGGCAGGGGCAGGACCTTTAAGTAAGATGAAACGCGGTGGCAATTTGCGAGGCAAGGCCCAGCATTCGAACACCAAGACTGCTTCTCTGCCCCCTCTTGGGACTTCGTCGTCTGGTGTATATACATGTGATTAATTTTGACAAGACGATGCGAGATGCGAAACTTTTCATCTGACGAGAACATGAATCTCTCGCGTAATATGCAAAGTTCGGCTGGTGTGCACGTTATTCGCGGATGAGATAAGAACTCACCCTGCTGTTTACCCAGTAAAACCTTGTAGATAATCTTTAAAACATTAACGACACCAACCTTTTTACAGTAGTCCAAAACATCCATTTTATCCTTGAGGCAGGTAGCCTTGGAATTGAGGTCGGTTTGCCATCTGCCCTGCTCAGTCATGTATTGCGGATGGTAGGTTTCCTGGCCATGTAGACCCGGGTCGCACAAGATTGCCACTTGGGGCTCAAAATGCGAAACTGCGCCTCCACTGATTCCTCCATCCTGCAACGCCTGAAAACCACAAGAAAAAAAAGACAATAAGTTTACGTCATCATAAAAAAAATCGGTATGAAAAAATACGTTGTAACAAAAATGAGTGTCGCGTTAAATAAAATGTCTTTGATCTTCTTTCCGGAGGATTTTTTACGATCCGGTGTATAAACAAACATGCACACGAAGCAACACGGGTTGTCATCCCGGTGCGCGTGAGATAGACAGGTATATTATGCGCAACAGCGGGGATAAACCAGGAAAACTTCAGAGCGCACAGATGCGCGTACTCCGGGTGAAGAGAAATGAAAACAGGGCAACGCGGAGCTTTTTAAATAAATATGCAGCATGTGTGAAAATGCAATGAGGTTCTCTTTGAGCATGCAGCCAGGTGCTAAAACCCAGACAACCGAAATAGATCGGCAAAGGCACAGCCTCTGCCACCTCCGTTGTCATCGTCACCACCGTTGCTACAAACAAACACACACGCCTATATGCGTTCGCACAATAGACAAAGAAAACAAAAATCTGCATTTTATTTTATTGGGCGTGTCGGAGGAAAGTAGTAGATGTTCGCAATAAAACCACGCGAAAAATGGAACTTGCAAATCCAAGAGCATCGGCACCGCGGCAAGGCGTAGAAACAAAAAGGAAAGTTGAGTGCCGAGTGTCGGCGATTTTCCAACACTCGTATAATGCGAATAAATAAAGGAATAAATCTATTTTTCCGATTTTCCGATGAACAGCAGGCGACATCACGCCCGCCTCCGCCTCCTACCGCTAGGTAGAAGATCGCCGGCAAAAGCATAAAATGCTACAAGCAATAAATGTAGGAATATAAGATGCGAACGACTATAGTCATTGGAAAATTGGTCGAATAAAACATTTCGGGTGGAAATCCACTTGGTAAAATTCGTCGAGAATATCTCTGGATTTTCGAATCCAATCGAATCGGAATAAGAATCGCGCGCATGGCGGCGCGCACCCCGAAACGTTGAAAATAAAGAGCGGAATTGGAAATGCTCAGAGTTATGACGTGTAATAATAATATAAGTGTGAGAAATGATCGAAGGGGTTCGGGATACGTGGCGCGGCGTGCAAAATCCGAATAACGTATACTCAATGGCTGTCAAATTGGACTCAATTTGCCGGATGGGATTCTCATTTTTTAATCCCGAACTGCCGACGCGACAGTCTACACACGTACAGAGACGAATAGTCGCAAATGATTCTACAAATAAACCGTCTATTTCTACATATTTTTCATTCTTACTAAATACGCATTCGATTTGTCCCAAAATTGGCATTGATATAAAATCAAATAATTAATTATCTTCCAATTTTCACGGAAACAGGAAGTGTGATCAACGCTCCGTGCCAACGTACATAATATGAAGTTAAAACTTTCCAAAAGGGTTGATGTAAGCAATAAGACGATATATCAACATCGAAGGATGTCTAAGGAGCGAAGGACCAAAGGAAAAAGCAAAGCAACCCAGCAACCCGACTAGTTTCAGCATGAAGGAGCACTTCTGATATGCCCAAAGGCATCGCATCCGCAAAATATAGGCTTCGACACGATTGCTGGAGCCGACAGTCAAGACAGACAACCCCAGCAGCAAGTATGGATACGCATGTGTGTCGCTGGCATGAGAAACTGAACCCCGCATCCCACTTCACGTTATTACGCAGCGTGCAACGAGAAGGACGCGAAACGGAAACATCTGCATATTATTCATCCAAAAACACATGCAAGAAGATTCTTGTGGTTGATGACATCACAGTCCCACAGGGCAATTAAAATCCCAGTCCCTATGCAAAAATTAATTTCCTTTTGCTTTTATCGCATAAAAAAATATATCGCTAAAAATTACGCTCATAAATCCACCGACTTAAAACGCTTCCAAAGGGTGCGATTGGTACCCACACGCACAGGGGTTTTCCCCTTTTGAAGTTGATTATGAAGCGATAGAAAATCTCAACCTCCCTGTATTTTCCATTAGCTCCGTACTTTGTGGCGTCGTGCTCACAAAGGTACGCAAAATCCCCGCAAAGATCCCCTCGAGTGCATTTATGGGGGAATGGGGGGCGCCGCTCGCGTAAGGATATTAATTTATGATACGTTATCACAACGCCGCATCGCACTTTTAGGTACACATATATTACCAGAGCATGCAAAGCTTATTTATGATACTTTGCGTCCCCCACATTTAACAATAGCACACACAACTAAGAAAAGCAGTGAACATGGAAAATGGTATACTGGGACAAAAGTCGGAGTTGAATAACTCCCGTTTGTGGTTTTAAAATGTTCAACCGTCGCTAGGGAGTTCTTCATTCCAAGCATGTGCGAACGTGATGCGCAGTGAGGCAGAGGATTGAAAGTGAAGAAAGCGAATTAAGAAATGTTCGCTCATGTGTTGATTCCTCGCCGAAAAGACACAAATCCGACCGCAAAGCTCGCTTGACAAACAACAACATTGTAATTCAAATCCGCGCGCCTAATCTATCGCAAACACTCGCGAATGGTACTAGCTCAAGCACGAAACTCATCTCACACAGCAAGCCGAGACTGCAAACCGCAACCAGTATGCTTAATACTTTAGTTTATTAACTAAATAGACTAAATAGACGCCGAGGCGTCTCTCTTTAGTGTCGCGGCTTGCATTCCCTAACCATTCTCATCCATTCCAAGCACACTCTTTGTGTCTTTCTGGCTGGTAGCTGACTTTTTGTTCGCGATACAGATGCTAGATGCTGAAAACTGAAACTTGTGCGAGACGTTGAGTGGAATTGCGCCTGAGTCGATTCACCGTGATTCGTTCAATGCGGAGACGATAAGCTGTCATTGATTTTTCGCGCATGATGTTCTTTTTCTCTTATTTTGCTTTTGGCAAAAGCATGAAAAGCGTTTTCTCTGATTCTCTTATCAGTCTTTTTTATTACTCTCGGCAACTATGGAGACGTTTCAGACCGCGGCGACAAAAATAAAGAGCTAGTTATAGTCGGGAGCGCAGAGTTGAGTTTCGCCAAGTTGTGAGGGCGGCGGGAAAGTTGAGGTTTTCGATGTCGACGACGGTTCACACATATTGCCATCGCTGAAGGAAAGCCCGCGGAAGGAAGAAAGGGACGTCCGCGGTAGAGCAGAGCGCAGAGACAAGAGGAAAAGCTATTGTCCGGCCTTCGGGGAATTACGCTTCGGGTTAATTAAAGTCCCCAGGACGGCGGTGTTTGTATAGCCCCATAGTTCTCTCGCGACCGAAAAAGCTTTTTGCCGTCCACGTCCGCCGCACACAAACGCGCACGCCCGCCACCAGCACCACCGCTCGGAAAAACGTATAGTTTCGGCGCTCCTGGGCGACAAGGCGAGGTTGTTTACAATGAAGAACGAATTTTGGAAGGCTCGTTGAAGAGTCAAGTATGCTCATTGGTCACCATCAGAAAGCGTATAAAAAATGACTCTTACTCGCGAAAGAAAAAGAAAAAACGCCAAAAAAGAATCCCAAAATGCGAACCAACGAAAAAGTCACAATTATTCAGCGAGAGCGAACCGTAGAAATGAATTTTTCAAAACCCCGCCGAGAATGAACGATCAGAGACTCACACGGCGCCTTATCCTTCTCAACTGGCGCCAGCCTTGATTACTTATGTAAGACAGAATGGCACGAAGATTAATCCTCTAAAGAAAAATTCAATTTCTATGTTAAGTAATCAATTCGCAAGCGCGTCAAGCAAAGAGGGGCGCGCAAATTTCAACTCGTTAAAAATTCACGCTTGCGATTCATTATTGTTATTAAAGCGCGAGCGCACTCGAGGAGGCGGTGTCGCGCGTATTAAATTTCGTCAAGTATGCGCACAGAGAATAAAAGCCGAAAGCAAGGAAAATCATTGTTGCAAGCACGCGGCCTGTGCGGCCCGGCGGACACGTCTCTCATGCAAACCCAAAAATAAAAATGTTAATGCGATTAGCAGCGTAAAATAGTATGATGAGGACACGCCGAGTGCGACGCAAAGAGGTCCTTGCAGATTGTAAATGCCAAGAGACGCTCAAGATGCTCGAAACAAACTATAAGGGACGGAAAAGCAAAGCGGCTGCGTCATACCACGTCGAGTTTCGTTTTGCGTAAAAAAGAAAACCAAAGCGGAGATGAAGAATGAAAAATAATAAGGACGAAAAGTACGAGGACTAAGAGCGAGTGCTTGTAGACTGAATATTTCATTCGCTTCCCGAGTGTCTTACCAAATTTAGATCCAAGCGCATGTTTTCTCCAACATATTAGGCTTTGCGGCAGGATCCACAAAAAAGCATGCTCAAACAATGTTTTTTAAAAGGACTTAAGTGTACAATGGCCAGAACAGCCCGTCGCGTATTGCGGGCGATGACGTGGTTGAACGTATAATTAATTTATGAAAAATTCATTATAAAATTCAATCTCACTTCGCTGGGTTTTTAGCGTTCGCATTCAGCGTGCGCTCTTGTTACCGTCATATCCGGCGAAGACAAAGTGCAGCATATTCGAGTCAAGTAACGCGTTAAACAAAGAAATCACCGCATAATGCGATCGCATAAAAATGTGCAACGAAAAAAATGATCGTAGCCACGGGCACAAAAACGAAACACGAGATGCCTGCAGGAAACCAATTACAAGCGGATTTTATAATGATTTAAATAAGTTTTTGCTTTACGCGCACAAATAACTACAGCATGAAAATATTACGTTGTTATTTACACAAGAAATGTAATTTTCAAGGAGAAGTCAACTAACTTTTATATTACGTTTCAAATGAAATGCTTTTGACGGAATTTAAATTTTTTTCAGCTGTTGCCAGGCGCCCACACACATTTATGAAACATGAAATCTGTCAAAATAGATCCCAATTTAGATTATGTAGGATAGGGAAAAGTTTGAGGCCCAATCCGAGACAGCTCGAGCGATTTGAGGCTACATTTGTTGTCAGTAAACAAACAAACTGTGATGTTTGTGACGGGCAAACAAATTTCATGGTATAGATTGGAATTG